GCAGGTCGCTGGCGCCGCCACACACACCGTGAGGGTGCGAGCGAGAGAGAGAGCGAAGGCCCCGCGCGCCCTGCAACCCCCTCGCCGTGCCATTGGATGCGAGGGAGCGAGAGAGAGGCGACCACAGCGGCCCGCGGATGGCGACGGCAGTGCGTGTCGGTGAGTGCAGAGCTGCACTGCTGCAGGCCGCCCGGGCGGCAGGCAGCCGGGCGGCGCGGCGCGCAGGCGTGCGCGGCGGGCGGCCCGCCCTCGCCTCCGCAGGCGCTCCCCGGGCCGGCCCCAGCGCTGGGCTGCGGCTGGGGAGGCACCATCCCGTAGTAACACGGCGAGATAGGCTTTGTAACTTTATCCCCCCGGATAGGGTAATAACGTGCGGAAGGGTCACATCAGCCGCGCCCCGCCACGTCTTGGGTACGCCGTGCGTGTGCAAACCACGCGCTCCCCGCAAAACCCCGCAGAGCCCCCAGCAGCACGCCGCCACCCCACAACCCAGCGAGTTCGCGCTTGTGTGAGGAGAGAGAGGGAGAGATACACAACATGCACAGCATATGGCCGTGTGTCGTGCAAAAAAAAATAAAAAATAAAAAATGAGGATATGGTCGAGCCCTCGTCCTCAGACTTGACCAGCATGCGGAACAAGGCTTTGGTTTCCGTCCGAGCGACCGGCTCCACGTCTGACAGGGAACACAGTTGCGCTAAAATCACGCCAAGTCACACAAGAGCACTGGGTCTTTTGTACACTTGCAATTTTTTTTTTTCCTTTTCAACAAATTTTCTTGCACTGCACAGGAAAAACAAAGCACTCGAAGGGTTTAAATGCCTTTACAAAGGCGGTAAAAATGGACACCCCTGCACAGGCATTAATACTGCCCAATGGTGCTAAAATTTAATGCCATTGTTCGTGCCTGTAGCAAATGCATCAAAATTTAACACCCCTAGAATGGCAATAAGTCCAACCTTCGATTTTCCAGTGTACTCGAGTTCTGCGGTAGCACGAGGAAAAGGGGGAGCAACGCCGCCCGCGCTGGGGGAAACCCAAATCGATTTGGTCCCCGAAACCAAATCCAAATTGCATCGGTCTTATAGGGGAAC